TGCGTATGCATTGAAGCTAAGAGGCGCCGTCTATCGACATTTAAAACAATACGATAATTCATTGAAGGATTTTGACAAATTGTTGGAGATTGAACCAAATGATGCATATGCATTGAGGGGAAGGGCAGGTGTTTATCTAGATCTAAATCTGTATGACAGCTCGCTGAACAATTTTAACGAGTCGTTACAACTTGAACCAAATAACACATGGGCGTTGAGTAGAAGAGGATGTGTTTACTTAAATTTAAAACACTATGACGAGTCATTGGACGATATTAACGAATCGTTGGAGATTGAACCGAATGATGCATATACATTGAAGTTAAGGGGAACCGCCCTTCTGGATTTGAAGCTATATGAAGATTCACTAAACGATTTTGACAAATCGTTGGAGATTGAACCAAATGATGCATGGGCGTTGAGGGGAAGGGGAGGTGTTTATCTAAGTTTAAAACAATATAACAAGTCACTGAATGATTTTAATAAGTCGCTAGAGATTCAACCAAACGATGCATGGACTTTGAGTAGAAGAGGATTTGTCTACTTAAACCTAAAAGAATATGACAATTCACTCAATGATCTTAACAGATCGTTAGAGATTGAACCAAATGATGCATGGGCATTGAGTAGAAGAGGATTCGCTTATTCAAACCTAAAGGAATATGACAAATCGCTGAGCGATCTCAACAAATCGTTAATGATTGAACCGAATGATGCATATACATTGAATAGAAGGGGAGCTGTCTATCGAAATCTAAAACAATACAACAAGTCGTTGAGAGATTTTAACAAATCGTTGCGGATTCAACCAAATGATGCATATGCATTGAAAATAAGAGGCGCTGTTTATCGTAATCTAAAACGATATGACGATTCACTGAATGATCTTAACAGTTCGTTGGAGATTGAACCGAACGATGTATATGCATTAAAATTAAGAAGCGCTGTCTATCGAAATCTAAAACAATATGACAATTCACTGAAGGATCTTAACAAATGTTTGGAAATTGAACCAGACAATGCATGGGCATTGAGAATCAGAGAGCATGGAATGCTTAACGAATAGGAAAATGAACGATACGAAGATTGAACGTGATGAGGTAGATATTTCGCCAATATTACTTATTACTGTCTAATTTACTGATTCCGGCATTTATTTCAAGCTATGTATTGTATAATAGTATGATGGGGACAATTATCGAGTCAGCTTCTCTTTGAAAATCTCTTTTACTTTATGTATTTACTATGTCAATTACAATAGCATTGATTGAAAAAAAAATGATACATTCAGTCACGTTATCGTTTGTTGGTACTATGTTACCCATAAATCGCGACTGAATTTGTTATTTTTTCGAAAAACACAATCAATTAGCTTAAAAGATTTTCGAAGAGAGATTTTTCATACTTTGTCCTTTGTTACAGTATCTCATAGAAGCAAAATAATAAAAGTTCTCTACGCTTAGCAAAGACTATTATTGTTATAAGAATGATTAGATTAAGAATATCTGCTGCCGTCAATAAAATCAAGATTGTCATCCATACTCCATATTCAACAACATGATGGAAATGATAGTTCAATTCACTGTACATTCCCTCTTGCATGCAATATTATCTTTGGCCATTTATAATTTTATGACATCAAGAACTATTACTATGAAGACAAACACAAAGTTTGCAGAATATAAATAAAACATCACAAGCACCACAAATTATAAAGAGCATATCAATAGCTATTTGGAAAAGAAACTATGCTGTGTGTTGACTAATTCAAAGGGCTTACTTAATCCAAAAGGACATAGAAATATACAATAACTTATAGATGTAACAATTTCTATTATACAAGTTTCATAAAAAAAAAACTCTACAGCATCATCAGACAGGAATCAAATAATCAACAGACAGCCATGGTGAGTAGTGGGTTCAAACTGGCGTTTCTTATTATGTAATACCTGTCAATGGTATTTCAGTGAGGCTATAGATTTAGCAATTAGAAAAAAGAAGACCATTATGTACATCACATACACATTTGCGTAGTACGTTTCCTGGTCTGATTCCGCAATACGGCTTTAGCTATTAGCTTGCGGAATTCGATATACGGCAAGGAAAATCTTCATAAAGCGAAAATCGGGCTCAATATCAAGGTATCTATCGTAGGCCAATTATGATTTATATAACACGCTTTATGTAGCTCTGTAACTTTGGTTTTCTATTACTTGACACCTTTCTACAAACCACATAAACCGATCAAACATCTTATGATTCCGACCCCCCCCCCAACTTTCTTATTGGAAAAAAAACCACTTATGAACAGACCAGTCCTTCAAAAGTCTAAAATACCTCTAATAGGCCAACCCCTCTCCCACTTATAAAAGCAGTCAATCTCGCTCGAATCTAAAAGACAGAGACTCCGAAAAGGTATCGAATAAATCTGCAAGCTTTCGCATAATAACAAGAGATATAATGAATAAGAATACATATAATATAAAAGACAGAAAATTTAGTCAAATCATAAAAATGACCATATGCTCATAAGGTCCATAAGCTCGGCGCTCCCCAACAACTTTGAATAAATTATATTCTAATGTCAACAAGGGGCGACGCCCTGCATAAACTCTCTCAGTTGTACATAAACAGACAGATAATTGAGATAGTGGTAGTCGTTGTCAAAAACGTGGTGAATAATTGCAACTGAGTTGTTTGAGTTTTAACAATACTGGAAGAACCGCTAGTGCCAAGTTCACCATTATTTCCACTTCCATTGGGAGAATTAGAATCATTATTATTATTATCATCTAGAGTGTCAAAGCGATCATTACCATCCGAACACCTTTTCTTGGCAATACACTGAGTGCCATTGGGACAGCATTTGCCATCATTATCTTGACACAGAAACTGTCCACTTGCGCAAACGCCTCCACTAGATCTACTTTGTAACCGAGAATTTGTGATGTCGGATCTACTTTGCAGTGTAGCAGAAGCAAAAGTGACGGCGGCGAGAACGAGTATTAGTGTGAAACTCTTCATATTGATCATCAAGCAGAAAACTGATGATGATGATGCACTTAAGTCATTCGGTCACGTCGCACATGCTTTTTGTGAAATGTATTACACCAAATAGGTTTCCTTGGCGAGTACCATAATAATAATAGTCACTGGACCAAAGATTAAGATCACTCGATAACCTAAACCATAGAAATTACAAAGATAGATTATTTATTCCAGTTACAAAAATGGATGGTGTGGGAGGTGAACAATTTATGTGACCGTATCGTAATCTAATTTGCTGTTATTATTATACTTGCTTTGTTTGAATAACCTGTTATTTAAGATTTGAATTTTTACTAATTGTCAGTTGCCTGTAATAAAATGCAGTTTTAAATAGCTAGGACTGTGATAAAGTTTATAACACAGTTCAGGAGCGAAGCAAAACTCTAATGAGCCTATTCAGATACGAACGTCTAAGTATAAACGTATCTGCTATTACATGGAATAATAGTAAAGTCATCGTTTTGGCAACTTCTTCAAAATTTCTAATATTGACTAGTCGGATTATGTCGTATGTAAATCCCGTCACTATGTAATTCCCGTTTGGGGTTCCTAAAAACCGCATTATTACATACAACATACATATTAACGCCTCTGTTTTACACAGCATCCTACGAAAGCGCCGAGACGAAAATGAATTAGCCGTCATGGCCATCCATAGACATGGTCATGGTGACTACGACCACGATGGTCCTGATAGAGATACTATTTTCTCAGACTAATCAAGAGAACGTCGATGTTTAAATACCAGGTGCTGGGAAGAACCATGGCACGAGCAAAATTATACAACAAAGGTTTGGGTTACAATATTTCGATATTGAAATATAGTGTAATACGCGGTCGCATTTCAATTCGGTTTGTACAGTACGTAGAGAGACGAACAACCGATCTTTTTCATACCGTAAGTATGGAGCGTCCTTGGATATAAGCTTTTCCTCTTATCCTAATAATAGAACTGAACTAACTGTGAGTTATTTGTTATCTAGATTCATTGGTAGTGTCAAACTAAAGTCAATTCTAATCAAAGATGGACCCTGTCCTGCAAAATTAAAGGCGCAAGTATCAACTTATTGAATAGTATTCGGATTCAAAATGCCCAGTTATTATTAACTGAAATGGCTGTTTATTTTTCTTCTTCAGTTTTATCAATCGAGAGGATATTGACTTAGCACCCCGTAGAGAGAATAATCCCGACACTTGGTACAAACTGGCGAAATAGTCGAATATCAAACAAAGTAATTTGTTGGTCTTCGTTATAGCAACTATGCATCTTGCTAGGATGACAAAATGTATAACGTACGCAATTTAACATTATTCATTATTATTATAGTGACAACCTGACCATAATATCCTTCCTAGGATTCAATGTGTGATGTTGGAATGATAATGAGGAGATGGATGTCGTCTAAAGATACAATTTATGCTAACGCTTCTATTTCACATTCTCTAGATCAGGCGAGATTCTATAATAACAATGTACGAAGCAACTGCCAACCCAGCGATCATAAGACACCTGCCCGGCGAGGATAGAATACAACATAGAATTCAATAAAAATGATCATTTATTTGGAAATCAATATAACTAAAACGTTTCTTATATTATTAATTTTGGTAATACTCTACAGACAAACACTATTAAGACAACAATAAACCTGTTCGAATTACTTACAACACCAATAAATAAAGGGTTATCGAAAACAGTATATGCTATTGCTTTTTTCATTGGTGGGGGTTTATTTGTTGCTCCCAATCTATGTTGCATTTCAACACTGTGGCAAGCGAGTAAGTCTTCAACCGAATTCTTGTGTTCACCGGCCGGCATGTTTTTCATCTTCAATATTAATTTGTAACTCGTGTTCCGAATTATGCTCGTGCTTGTCAGCCCTTCAACTTTATTAAGCTGCGACTCTTGACTTGTTAATTCAATCAAAGAATTAAGTGATTTGCTCACGTAAATGGCTTCGGGATTAAATATTTTTTGCTCTTTCCTGGTAGTAGACTCCTTCCTTCGGCAACATTCAATTCTCCGATATCCTTCCCACTGCTATCCAGTATTGTACGCGGAAGCAGCGATAGGTCTGTTTTTAGGATCTCCGTTCCAACACTGCATAGCAAGCGGGCACATGATCCATTACATATATTATAGGCCAATTCGTGAGCTCGGTCTTCCCACATAATAATACCAAAACAATACAAATCTGCTGCAATACTATACGTTCCACTCATAAATATCTTCCATGTATGTAAATATGAGTTAAAAAGATACCAAAATAAAATCGTGCACGTTTACTTTGCCGGGTAGATCATTTGAACATATAAGCAAATAGAGAGTACATTATTTAAAGTCTATAAAACTGGTAATGAGTTTGTTCCTGAATAAAATGTGTAGCTACATTCGAGCTCCGTTTGCTGGACGATGAAGCTTCATTGTCGATTTCAGCACCAGCCGGATGATGCGTGCTTCCTGACATAGTTTTCCAAATAACCCATACAGTCGGCCAACAAGGCAAGATTTTCTTGCTCAACTTCATTTGGACATTGGATAACATTATTTAAGGCCTTGATAGATGCGATATCCACTTTATGGCTAGGAATCATGGAGACGCGATAAAAGCAGATCCCATACCTCGAAATCTTCCGATTGAAGAATATCTCTGAAACTCCTGTAAAAACTAAAACCTTAGTCCATTCCACTATTATCATGCGAGTGATGAACCATCAATCCACTCGTATCCCTCGAATATCTATCGCCTCTTTTCATGATATTGTTACATAGCCTTGACGCGTAACGATAAAGTTTAACAATAATATATGGCAATAATGGTCCGTTCATATCAAATGTGCGAAATAATGTTTGGCCTGCACCATTCCTAACCTCTGGCTGAGAATACTAGCTAAACATGTAGACTACTTGTAGTTCCCATAATTATGCCATCGCTTACACCAATGCTGTTAAAACGATAGCCAATAAGACCAGCCTCTTTCATACCTTCTTTTACTTTCGCCGCTAGTTCGAGAAGGTGCATATTACATGGATTCCTTCATACCATCTAAACATTCGAAAAGATGTTAAATAGTGATGTAGGAATAGCTGTCATGCGAGTTTACTGTTTACAATTGATAATTGATATACAGACACGCTGGCAATACCAACTTGTGGTTTATCCATATCTTCCGCCTTTAATCCTGTAGCATATACAGTAACACCTCCATAAATGTCCCAAGCTTGGGACTTAGTGAATAAATGCAACCCCCCGTTTTCTGCAACACAACGGATTTGCGAGTCCCGCTCTAGTATATTTATTTCTCTAAGTGCAACTCACGTGATTTACAAATGATTAAATTTGTCTCACGAAGTCAAACATCACTATTGCTATTCGCGCACATTATTTGTTATATAGATCGAGTTTTACATGCGTGTGAAGATTGCTGGAAAGCTACCAAGATTCTTCCTGATAATAACGATGATGATTCCTGCAAAGATGAAACTCAGGAATTAAATAACGAATTACTTACTGGATTGTCTGAATCCATCGTGAGGTTGAATTTTCCTGAGGCAATAACAACAAACGAGTATTTGTCTTTTCCAGAGTGCAGAGGAAGATATCGTTTTTGAGCTTTCGAAAGTGACGATATTATTTCTTTGTTTAGTGGAGAACATGATGAAGAGACTGATGATGATAGCAATGAAACCCCAATAGTGAGTGCTAATGAGACTTTAAAAAGTTTAGAAAACATAAAGACGTTTCTGATTTAGCAATAGGGAACTAACAGTTATTTAAAAGCCGTTAATAGTTTGGATAAATTCATTTGCGAAAAACAGGTAACTTTAATGAAACAAAGTAGTATTACACAATTCTTAGTTAACAATTATAATTAGGGATATTGATATCCAAATTTTGTATGTAACTTTGGCTGGAAATTATAATAAAGGAAAATCTGTTTAATAGACGTAAATCGTTAAAATATATCTGTTTCAGCCAGTAAAAATTTTTGCGGCGGTCATGTGCGGCAATTTTTTGGGGGTAATTATTCACACCCACCAATTTACTGGACAATTTATCTAACGTCACGTTTGGCAAACTGTTGGGACTCTTAGTCTAACAAGGATGTGACGTTAGCGCAAGCTGGACTCTTAGTCTACAGCTTTTCCCTTATTATTTCTACATCGATTACTAACTATATAAGATTCTCACCTCCATAATCTTTCTCTACAGGATGATATACTGTGTTGATCATTGATCTTGATAAATTTTCCATAAAAAATAATAAATTAGGGCGACCTGATATATCCTAAATGTTGATATTGAAGTATCATCGATAGCATTGTATTTGTTACTATATCTGGTTACGAAGCATCGATCATATGATTGATACGTTCTGATGTCATTGTAGTTTAAACATAGAACAAATTTATATATCACCCAATTATTAATCGTGCTATTGTTTGCTGTAAACATATAAATACGAAGTATGCGAGAAAAGCACACTCCAAGTTTCTAAAACACGATCGCTCAATCCTGAATATAACAACGGTTATGTGATCGAAGACCAAGAAGGTAAAACTAGAAATACAGTCAACCCTTTATAGTCACCCTTAATTAACAAGGTGTATGAACACTTACACATATTCTTGGATATGAGAACCAATAATAATTGTGGGGCTGAAGATTTTAACTGGCGGCAGAGGCATGACTTGTTATTGTGTAACAATAACGCGTATAATTCTTGATAGTTAACTTGCTTGCAATATATACATAATCTTTTTGGCGGAACACGATAATCCTAAGCTTTCTGGAATTTCGACTTTATATGAATAATTTAGAAGATCCAGCGTTGGAACAAGCGTTATATTATTACATACTGTGACAAAACTAGTAAAATCGGAGGAAAAGCGTTAGAATGGGAAAAAATAATAATTTTAAGGTGGGTATATTTATTTGCTCAGTTGGACTTCGAAAAGCTGTATGTTTCAACAGACTATTTCGCGAATTGCTTACTTGCACGGACACCTTACTTGCAAGGCAAGGGTTGTTACTCATCCGTTATAGTCTTCGAATTGCTTATTCGTACAGACACCTTGTGAGTTGCATTGCTCGTTGATTAATTTATAACTTGCTGTAATAGAGACGATAAAAAGTCGAGTCGATAAAACTCTTTTGGACTAATAAAGACATATTATGAAATCCGCGCCCAATTGCAATAAGAAGTATCTGGCAGTTTTGTTTCAGGATGTGGACGAGTTGTTGAAGGTAAATGTTATAAATAGTCTTATTGGTATCATGACCTTAAGTGACTAATCTGTATACAATTTATATTATATTCAGAATGCTTCAAATGCGATGGAGTTTGAAGCAGTGCCGGCTGAAGCTGGGGATAATCTTGAAAAGAAACAGATGATACAAATCCTACACTGTGTTTATTAATACGGTTAAACTGTGAAATAGCTTTGTAGACTAGCTTGTCTACTTTTCAAGTACGATTTATATTTCTGCGATAATTTACATGCTAAAAGCTAGTTGTTTTAAACAATCCACTGTATCTATTTTTCTTACTTGAAATATTTTCCATTTACAACAACACACAGTAAATTCAGATTATTTGATTGGTTCATGCCTTTTAATGCTACGTGTATTTTATTCAACTACTTCCTTTCTTAGCGCTTGGAATTACATTTTTTTATCTTTACACAATTTTTTTTGAGAGCTCTATTAACTTATGGTATTCGGTCATACGATCCAACGCGATTGTTTCTGTTTCCATGCTGCAATTTTCGTTAAAGGTTTACAAAGCTAAATACTTTCAGTCCATGACCTTTATAATAATAAAGAATTTAAATAGAGAAATCACGTTGACAATTCACATTGACAATAAATGTGAGGGATAATGCGCTTTTGATAAATCATTATTGATTACGTAAAGCTGAATTAATAGTCTTATTTACAAGCCCCTCGTGAATGTGTGATGTAAAGTTGAATCACGTTACAAAAATCACGTGATTAATTTGAGACTGCAATCACAGTTATTAAGCAACCGGCAAGGCATGAACGTATCAGAGATTCCAATTGTCGACTGCACATGCTGGATAGCAGATTTGTTCCCGGGTTTACGTTATGTCATTTATGCTATTGCATGAGTGACGGTGACTCTAATTAATTAATACATACTTCAGTATTGCATAATTATGTAGGTAAATTAATTTCAATTATGATGATAAATAGATATCAATGGAATATAATATTCGTTGTGACATTGTTTAATTTATTATTACCACAGTGCGTGTAAAAGCTCGGCATAGCGGCAGAATAAGGTAGAAGGCCAAATTAGATTCATACATCTGTAATTCCTATATACAACAACAGTATACCATAGAAAAATGGTTTGAATTGCACATTACATCTCTGGGCCATCTACCCATTCTCTAGCTACAACCGACGGTCGAGTGGCAATCGGCTTATTCCTATCATAGTTGGAAGCTCCCTCTAACATTCTATTGCATATCATATATACTTGGCAATTTATCAATAAAAATGATATTAAAATAATCTTGAGTTCTCATATATTGCCGATTATGAAACGAACGAAAGAATGCAGGTGGTCTGTTTTCTTGTTTAAGAAAACCTAATGGAGAATAGATATATTGCACATTTGAAAAACCTAATTGACAATTAGTTACTAAATATGCAAATCAAACCCAATCTCTGATAATTAAATAATTAAAGGTGCTCAATATTTTAGCACACCTTAACTGTTGAACCATTTCAAGTTTTGTGAGCATTAAAACATACTAGCCAATAGAAGGACTATGTATAGATGCCTGAAAGAATACGAGACAAAAAGAGAGCACTGATTGTCCTATGCTAAGATTTCTTGCCACAATGAGTTGACGGCATTGGTTTACAAAAAGACATTGTAATAAGGAGAATGTGCATATTGTGCATCACGCTTAATGTGAGTTAACCCGTTGCAATACCGACAACTAATAATTTGGTCAATTGAGAATAGTTGAAATTGACTTTTTAAAAAGTACATTTCTTTGAGGTCTTGTAATGGAATGCAAGGGTCAATTCGAGAACAAAATATACATCAGCCGCATCAGCCGCATCAGCAGTGAATTAAATGCGACCGTCAAAGGCCCAATAAGAATGAATACAAAAGGTATTGACGACCGACAGAAATGTGCATAAACACCGGCCGATAACATTGAATTAATGTAACAATCACTTGACAAAGTTGTTTGTCTGATGATCGACATTTCTTGGCAATGTGGTGTAATACATGTGATACCGAATTACTTTCACATGCATAGCAAGTGATTGTAAAAAACTATACTAATACCCCACAAATGTGGTCTATCCGCAACGTGTCTTGAGTGTTACTGGAATCGCTTTTGTTCAGTTACTGCTGCATGAAGATAGACGAGAGATTTTGGAAATGTTTCAACAGTTTTTTGCCCCACACAAAGTAATTCTGTAATGGAAGTCGATTGACAGATATGCATGGCGTTACACGATTGATTATCGATTAGCACCAAACTGACAAAGCCTGAAAATGGGTCAGCGTGGACAATTCGAGAAGTTGTTTATCAACGATGAAACCAATAATTAAAACCACGTAACGATCTGATAGACAATTATATCATTGTGTTCAATGAGGCTCGATCTCGTCATCACTTGGAACAAACCACACAGTTTCATGACCATAAAAAACTTCAATGTTCTACACCAAGCGAGTGTTACAAATAAACTCAATGAGCAAGCTACTGATTTATTCGGTTGTAAACAGAGAGTAGGATATTCAGGACATTGTGACGGTCCGTTATCGACATGCATGGAGTAATTAATATTTATACAACAAACGATATTAGGAAAATTAAAGCCCAAGCAGATTGCCCCCCGCAGTTTATTTGATCGGGGGGTTTCATACATACATGCATTGATTCATGTAGATAGATAGACCAATGATCAGATCGATTTTTAATCGTGAAAATCCCATCGAATTAATACCAAGATTCTAAATCGGTTAACAAAAGCATTCGGTTATAGTCGAACTTTAAACAAGCCTTTCTCACGTCATTGTTTCAACAGTGCTCTTTTTTTTTTTCCTTGTCGGTAATCACCCAGAGAAACTAATGCAAAAAAGGAAAGAAGGCCCCAAAGTAATTACGATTATACTACTTTGGTGGTAAACAGCCGTATACAGAAAAAATGCCAAGATTTATGTGTTACGATTATCTGGAATATACAATATCCGGTAACACAAACAAGTGTTAATTCATTATGACGATTTTTTGAACTAAAAAACGCTCACTCCGTATTGGCCACCAGCACTTGTTGCCCTAACAAAGGTTGCATGATTTAAAATCTGGCACATCCTTCTGCCCCTGTGTGACATGGTTAGAAACTAAGAATTGAAAACCGTCCTCCAATCATCGAATAAATTAATCGAGGGGACTTCCTATTAAAAACATTACCGGGTCGGTGTTACACAACTAATAAGTTTTCAATGATAAACACTTAAAGTTACCAGGAATGGCTTCAAAGTTATTTGTATTAGTAATAACAAAAGTGGCTAGGGTTACCCAGCCCCCTCTCTTCCGAAACAAGAATCTCGGCCTTTTGGAATGGAAACAATTCATGGAATTTTTTGGTAACCATTTCTCTATTTTATTTACTTTCATTCGTTTATATATGGTACACAAAAGTTACAGCGGTCTAACTAATTACGTTTATTAATTCAACCTCTTAATTTACATAGAACAAAAAAAGATAACCAATGACCATAAACAACAAAGGAATATTGTAGGTTGAATGGGTTAAAATCAGAACTAAGGATATGACAAAAGCAGAGTAGAGATCTCAGCGTCATATTTGTTACATGAGGTACCAACACAGAACCCTGTCGCAACACTCTGTACTAATTTCAATAAAGAATTGGCAATGTTAACACCGACTGTGGGTATCAAAAATGTATTGACGTCGCTGGTCGATGCTCCACCGGCAGTGGCTGCATCGGCTGCTGCCTGAGTAAATGCCTTAATGTATGGTCCACTACCAGTTGCATTGAATGCAAGTCCGAAATTAATGGTGCCGATAACTCGTGCCTTGACAATATCCAAATGGTGACAGATCGAAGGTGGATTGCCACAGATATAGTCCATTGCAACGCAGTCGCTGGGTTTCCAGGCAACGCCGGCTGGTGGTTGTGTCACACGCTTCGGGTGATTGCAATCGCCCATGAATTTGGGTTGTTGGCTAAATATAGCATCCATTGCGAAACTCGATAAACTGGAGAAAAATTTGGCTCTTACAGTATCAGCCGTCAATGAAATTGCATTGGTAACGTCCGTGCCGATAGTGGCACTAAATTTAGTCATATCAACGCCAGTGAGAGCGTTACTAACAATATCTGTTTTGAATGCATCAAATAATGGTTCGAGTTCCAGTTTGTACTTCTCTGAGAATGCCGCTGAGACTCCATCTCGGCAAGGTTGTTCACATGCCTTTGTTGAAGATAGGAAAAGCGAGGTTCCGACAAAAAGGGTGCTAATGATGATGGTAGTCAACTTCATTTTTGAGAGGGTATGGAATTTTATTGATGTTGGCCGGGTCGGGGTGAATATGGATGGTAATGATGAAAGGTAATATAACTAGTGTCACTCGATTTGAGATGATGGAGGTTCCTGCCTACACCAGTTATATGTAAATTCCGTTGAATTAGGAATTATTGTATGAGGTGGCCGACTGCTTTATAAAGAGAGGAAAGCAGACGTTAAAAATCGGTTAGAATGTGAGAGAAGGGCGGAAGCGTTTGCAATGGGGACAATTGATGTCGATTGAGTGCCATTTATATTATATTTTTTACTACGGCACAATTTGTCCAAGTATGACAGATTTCATTTGTGATACATAAGCGTATATCCGACAGTGTGCGATCTATTTTTGGATCACTAAATAGGGCTTGTAGATAAATTGAAATTTATTACTGTTATTGTTAAGCAATTGGCCAATCAAAGTAAAAGATGATTCATGATGACGACGCCGGGATATATGATTACTATCTTTGACGGCGCAGATGTCATCATGACTTGGATAAACCTATCTCGACGCAGCCAACCCCCCAACCACAGGAAGTCATCCGACAGGGTAAAGGGGGGGGGGGGGATTTTAATTTATTTATTATTATTGGATTATGTAACTATCCTTTCCAACAAGAAGATTTAATATTAACTTGTATTACTATTACAACGTCTCGGGTAAAGATTTGCTATATGGAGATCAGATAACCTGTGCAGAGTTGTTCTAGACAAAATGATCAAAGCGCTTTTTGTATCCACATATGAACAATATAAGTTCTCGTTTCATGTTTGCAGCTAACCATTGTTGCAATAATGTCACTTTTCGTACTGATTTATCATTAGCACCACTACTAAAAGTCCCATCAAAAGAGAATTTGAACAATTAAAAATTTCCATTATCACCACCAATAAAATTCCGTCTCGGAAGAAATACTATTATATTCATAATTGTATCGTGTGGCGGTCACCTGAACAAGGAGGAAAAAAGAAGGGGGTTAGAGAATTGAGTGACTTTTTTCATTGGTTTGCAGTCCAAGTACGGTAGATCAAATAACTCAACACACATGGGCATAATGTTGCACAGCTATTTCACCAAGGAGATGTATTAATTTTACACACTTTAAAAAACCCAATACCGAAAATAGGCTTTCCTCAAACGAATAAGACTGAAAAAATACTATCATCTTTTATGTTGTGTATGATTAACCTTTATATAGTCAAGGCATAATTATCTACAATTACAACTTTAACTGCATTCTCGCTTTCGCATGTACGATTAGAGTCTAATATTATAAGACTTGGCAGAATGCTTGATTACCAACAAAATATGACTGTTCGAATAAACTTTTGGTGTACATCGTCGATATTTTTTTATAAACACAAAAAGTCAGTTTATTCGATGCATGCCCTCCTTACGAGAGCAACATAATCGTGCATTCTTTGACAGATTTCAGTGATCGATAAACTTTCTCGTTATGCACATAGCCCTCCGAAAAATTTATTGTTTATGCGAGAGTATGATTAATGCACTTTTTAACTTTGTTTAAACTAACGCCGTTTTACATAAGCATTGCTAAAGTAAGAGTAAATAACTCAAATTTAATCGAGATGGCGACCATACTACAATGGGGAAAACAAGCATTGTTTACAGGATACTATTGACTATTTGAGGTAAGCTTAAGTAGGGCTTGCAAAGTTTAAAGATATTTAACTTGAATGACTCGAAAAATATACTCGAACTATTGTAAACCAAATAATTGTCACGAGTGTAAAACAAGGTTCAAACAAAAACGCCTATTCCAGGAAATTACCTGCTTTAATAACTCTATTTGGTGTGGCTGAACGCAGTTAACAAATTTTGTGATCATAATGACGACACATTCTCAACCTCAGAATATCCTTTCAAGTTTAGAAATAATCCGAACAGATGATTATGGATGAGATCGCATATATCTATTTATATTTACGGTCTTACCGAGTATGGAAGTGGATATTATTCTTATTCTCCACATTTTATACGCCATTTAAAAATAGTAAAGTAATTATTATTATTAGCATAGAAGCTAACTTCTATCTTCTTTATTAATATTACAGCTCAAACACATGTGTAATAAATATGACAACACGTAACTCTATTAATATACTATTGATACATGGTACAGGACAGGAATGTCTCTAAGGGAATGAGAGAAGAAGTGTGATAATGCTATCGTCATATTTAGGGCAGGTATCTTGACAGAAGTTGTTGCAGTCGTTCAAGAATTTTGACAATGCGGTCTGAATGTTAGCCTCAGCAAGAGGCATCAATAACTTTTTACGGTTTTTAAGAGATACGCCAGCAGAGCGAGCGGCGTCCCATACTGCATCGGAAAATGCCTTAAAGTCTGGTCCGTTGTTACTAGCCTCTTGATTAAGCTTGCTATGTATGTTGGTAAAGATACGGTTCTTGATCTTTTGGATGTCATGACAGATAGCAGGTGGGTTACCACAAAGATAAGTTTGCTTATCACAGTCACTTCGTTGCCACGGTACGCCTTTCTTTGGCTGTTGAACGAGTTTTGGATGGTTACAGTCACCCTTGTATGGAGGACTCTCTACGAATATAGAGTTGAAGACTAATCGTTGCAGATCGCCAACGAAAGTGTTCTTAAATTGGTCGACCGTTGTCTTAATAGCAGCTGGAACACTTGTCTTGACCTCTGAGCTATGACCCACTTTATCGAGATCAACACCTTGAAGGATTGTATCGGCAAGGTTGTTCTTGAATCTATCAAAGAATGGCTCGAGTTCGCCGCCATATTTATCTGCAAATGCTTTCGATATTCCGTCCTGACATGCCTTTTCGCATGCCGATGTTGGAGAGAAGAAAAGGGACGAACCGATAAGGAGAGTACTGATGATGGTAGCAAACTTCATTGTGGTATGAGTATATAAAGCGTCCTTTTGAAATTCGGTAGATTATGAAGGAAAGGGAGGATCGTGTTCAAATATAAATAATACGCGCTCGGAAGATTTTGCTATTTATATTTAATAAATATATCGGATGGGATGGTATTTGTGAAGGTTGTGCTTTTAATGATTCCTGTACAATATAAGCAAAACGGAAGATTGGTCGTCTTTATAAAAGGGAAGACAGTGAAGGAATGAAAATGGCCTAGTGATATTAACAGCAATCGGGGAAAACACCTGCTTTTGTCAGGGTCCGTATTATTCATCGACAATCATTTGACAATTAACTACCAAAAAAGGATAACTTCGAAATAATGTTGGTGAATATTTGTCGGTGAAATGATTGTCGATGAAATGTGATACATAAATATAAATATATATATGACAATATATTATTTATGTAGATGGTGGCTAAATATGGACTTTGTATTGCGTATGCTAGAATGATGACACTACACTGAGCAAAGCCTCTAGGTCGATTTACGATTGAATACTATATATGGATTAAAAATGACTAATCGAATGAGAGATAATATGAGATAATATGAGATAATATAAGATAATATGAGATAGCGTTAAATAAGTAAATGTTATTGCGACTTGCCAAATTACATCGTTTCTCTCCGTTGTTATAACGAGATTTCCCCAATCAAGACACACAGTTCCTGTTGAGGTATTAGTATACTGTTTTTACTTGTCCTACATAAATGGTATTTGCTGCGCATAATATTGTGATATTGTGACCAATTGACTATATAGACTATGTGTAAATGGTTTCTACTTGTAATACATGTGATTATTTATGACGTAGAATAAAGACATCTAATTAGAATATCTAAAAACATCCAATTCATTTTTCATATCCCTTAGTCTATCGATAGTTCTCTCGCACGTTCTACGCCTTTCTGCCATAGTGGGATCTTCTTCAACGAGTTCTCTTAGTTCTATGCGTCTACTCGTGTGTTCAATATCGTCAGCAAGAATGTCACTAGTCATTGAGTTTTGCCAGTTTTCCGAAAAGTCGAAAATAAACTTGTTGATTATAGCCATGCATACGCAATCCGTATATCTTCTTAGAGATAGTTCATAATAAGCCTTTACATCGGCCATCACGGTTGCAGCTTCCGGATCACCAGGCACGAGTTTGACCAGTTCGGACTGATACTCGTTCTTCATTTCTGCAATTCGATTATCGTTGGTGTATGATCTCTTAAACTCAAGATCAGAAAATGACTCGATCAGTTCTTCGCAGTTCACTTTACGAGACTCGAGCCGCTGCTTTGCATGCCCCTCCAAGAAAAAACGAAGTTTCTTGTACTGTTTCGTTGAATTGCGGATAATCTGTTCAATCTCCCCCCACATAATATCAAACATATTTTTGAGACATTGCGTCGAATGTTCTTTCCAGTGACGTTGATATGTTCTGATTATGGAATCCGAAACTTCATGGGGAACTCTACCGGGAAGTAGACAGCCTCTCTTTTGGTTAATAAGATCTTTAACATTCTTTGATTCCTTGATACATTTCTTTTCTTTTGGCGAGTATCCATTTGCCTGAGTTTCGTAATCAAGCAATTTTATTAGTCCCCAAAATAAAACTAATGGTTGAACTTGAATAAAACAAAAACAAAAACCGCTTACAATGGTTACGCCGATTGAATCATACGTGCCATGGTTTCCTGGGGGAATATTTTGCAAAACATCGACAAGGAATTCCCGACGAGGCCACGTCTGTGCTAGCACAAACACCGGCCTTTCTTTTTCTATTGCCGTTTTGTACTCCTTCAGCTGGTTATTAATTTTTTCCCACATATTATCATTTTTATCATTCAAATCGGTTCCGCTGCGTTCAAGCTTGTGATGAATTTTATCTTCACACATATTTGCCACTCTGTTAATTTCGATTTGTGGATTGACGGGCGGTTGAGGTAATTCCTTCAATTTACAAACTGCCTAATAAAAAAAAAGATCAAAGAACAAACGAACGTAGACCGTCTTAGTAAACAACCAACAAGAACAAGCGGCTATATGTCAATCGTCTAAAATATTATTCTCTTACCTCTTTCAATTTGTCACTTATATCGTCCATAAGTTTAGGAATATTTTCTCTAATTTTGTCTATGAGTAAATTTTCTAGCCTCGTTCTTAGTCTTTTTACTCCGAGTCTGTCCTTATAGATGGACGAGCACCATGGCTGAGTGTTTTCAAACCACTATGATAAAATACCATATTAACAAAAGCCGTCAACGTTTATTTCCCACTGACACTGGTTTACTTACCTGTTCTTCTTCCTCTCTAGCCTGCGTAAACGTCACTCCATTGATTAATTTTGCCTGATTCGGATTCATAACTACGAAATA